GTTCCCCATGTAGTTTGGGCGGTCATAGAGCATGAAGCAGCCGCTATGCACTCTGCAGGAGTAACAGTGGCTCAAGTAGGAACTGAGGTCACCGCAGTCGCTGCTGCAGTCATAGGAGCGACCCCCAAAGTTCCTGTCCTCGTAGAAGGTGATCTGAAATTAAATAAGGATTACTTTAAACATGACACAAACCACACAAGCAAGTAACTGTGAATTTTAGCCTTTTTTCAACCTAAAGCTTCACAGTCATAAATTGATGAAGAAACTTTATTATTACTATAAACTAGAGATGGTGCAATATCATTTTTTCTAGTCCAATATCAATATTAAAATTTTGAGTATCTGCCAATACAAATCCAATATATTTTCCCCTTTATCAAGTACTATTAAATGAAATATTTGTATCAATACATTTTAATATCATGGCAAACAATCTGCATTTAGTGTTGTAGCTGCATTATTTGTATATACTAAGAATTGAAAAATATAATGCCCGTGTTGCTCAAACAAAAGCTATGCCACTTTGCTATATGAAAAAATCCATGACTAACATGACTTACACAATCTGCTTCTTTGTTTTATTCAGTGCCAACTTGAACAGAATAATGAACAATGAACAGAAATGTTTCTTAAAGTGCAAACTGTGCAATCTGTTGCCAAATTAAATATAATAAAGAAATCAATCCTAAAAATATTGCGGCATACCCCAACTAACCATTCCTAGTCAAAAAGTACACATAAGAATGCAGTACAAAATTTACAACAGGGCACAGATACAACTTTTAATTAGTCTGAAGATTTAGTTCATATAAATTTTACTGTGCTGAGAAAAAGCAGCAGCAGCCGGACATACACTGCATTTTGCAGTGTTGCTATTTGTGTAAAGTACAGTAACTGTATTTCTACTCAGCCGACATGACAGCTCCGAAACACAAGTGTTGCTGAGCATCTAGCCATCATGTGACCCTCACTTCTGTTTACGGTATGTCGCACTAAGGCGACAAGCATTCTCATAATTCTGTGTGATGGAAAATCGGATTGGTTTCTTTCTCCGCACTCCGATATCCAATCCAGCATTTTTTGCATTTATTGGCCCAATACCAATAGTGGGTAGCAGATTGGTGCCATCTCTACCATTAACACATCCAGCAACATTACTAGGTTGTACAAATAATCTGTTGGATACCTGAATCATACTTAACTTAAACATTCGGCTGAAACAAAAAACTATAAACACTGGGATCTCCAGAAGTGCCAGCTTTGCAAATCAGTATTTGAAGTGTAATTAAGTTTAAATCAGCTTAATCTCTATATATAGTGTTAGCTGAGTCACTTACCCTGCCCATGGTCATGGTGATGGCTGTTTTGCCTCAGAACAGCTCTGCTGATGGCCTTTACCTCTCGCTGCTTTTATACTTAACATGACTCAAAGAATTTTTGCCACCATTGTCAAAAATCCTGACCCAGCACCACACCACACAGGCCTGTTTATAATGCTCTTTACAAAGGCAAAGGCTTATTATCCTGCAGATTGCATGGAGGGCTGGAGAACACATATGTCTACATTGCTGGTTTTACATAAACAATAACAGCCATGCAAAAAATGCCTTCTTTGTACTTCGTGCAATGTGTTTCACACTTTGGAGGGCTGATGTTTCATTATTTGTTTTGATAGCACTTTACTTGAGGAGGCACAAATAATATACTCAGTCTTTAATAATCATGAACGAACTCATACTTAATATATCAAGTAACCACAAGCTGTATTTTGCTTGTTGCTGGTAATGTACTACAGTATTTACTGATAGAAATTCGGTCAAGTTCTTTGTTCAGTATTCTCCCTCGATTTTTTGTACAAAGGATACAATGCAGACATGTACCTTTCTGCAACTGTACACAGTGCCATTTAATGCCCGCACAGTAACACGAATGGGCTTCTGTGTCCTGTTGCTGGATCAGGGATTTAGACAATGAGACCATAGATTCAGGACAGATATAAAAGCAGCCAGAGAACGAGTGTCCAGCAGATCTAACGGAGGACAAACATCACTGAGACGATGAGCAGGGTAAGTGACCAAAATATGCCTGTGTGCCAACTGTCCAACCTGAACTCCAACTTTATGTCTGCTGTAATCTTCAGAATGTGGGGAGGTGGGAATATTTATAAGCTATAACTCAACAGTATAGCTCAGAAAGAAGCT